GAACTAGAGGGGGCCAAAATTCAACACTCGTCAATATTTAATAAAGAAATGTTATATAACAAATCATTCTTATAGAAACACAAATGACCTTTTCCAAATTGTTTTATGGGTCATTTAGAACATGCATAACCAAAGGAAGAAAAAAGATTAAATATAGAAAGACTTGTCATTAGAACTCATTTCTTTTGCTTTACTAACAACAAAATTTTAATTTATTATTTTGTAGCAGTACATTTTATCACAATCCAGCAAATCAGGTATAAAAGGGAGATCTCTCACTAAAAATCTAATTACTTGACTTTAAAATAAGAAGAGATAATTAAAGTAGCTTCTCTGTTGTCTTTTCCACACCAAAATCATAGATTACTGAAAAATTATAACCTAATTTTCTTGGCTTGAAAGTTATTCAACCGACGTGAGAAGAATGTACTAAACTCAGTGAAAAAAAAAAAACATCAAATAATTTCACATTTAAAGTATTACCTTTGGGGCAGGATAAAAGGTTAATGAGGGCCAGATTTGGCCTGTGAGCCTCGAGTTTGAAACATGTCATTTTATTAATTTTATAAGCTATATTTTGAGTTAAAGTCTTTCCAGTTGGATTTGAKCCCTTTTCTTTGGTCAAATTGAACATTTTCAACTCAGCGCCACTGAACCTGAATATTCGCAGCTGATCCCTGCTCCACATCACTCAGAGATCAAGTCTGAAGTTTTGCACCTCTTCTAAGAAACCTTTCTTCACACGAACATGTAAACATTATCATGTTTTTTTTTTTTTTTGCCAACGGACATGATGGGGCCTGCTGATAAGGGGCCTTCTGTTCTGACACCAATCGCTGATGCTTCTATCAGGCGAGTCTGAGGGGTTCTATCTGCGTCAGCGGAGGCGGCCCAGCACCCGCCTCACATGGGTGTGACCTTCTGGGGCCAAGTGAATTTAAGTAGGGCTGCGGAGGAAAACCGCAGTCGCCATCTGATTCAGGTAGAGACAGAAAGAGAAGCGAGCAATCATGAGTTTGACGGAGAAAGACAAGGCTGCGGTCAAGGCGCTATGGGCCAAGATCTCCAAGTCAGCTGATGCTATTGGGGCTGATGCTCTGAGCAGGTAAGGAGCCTGTTGACACCCAAAAGGAACTAATTCATCATGAAGCATTTGTTTTCTTACGCACAGAACGTAGTTAGTTTTTGTCTGTTGTCCTGGTTAAAATCTTAAAGCGATAGATGTTTATGCTGCAGGTGGAGATCAAACCTCTGTTTTTCTGTTGCTCATGAGCTCACCTTTTCCACAAAAAATCCTCCYTTTTTTTTTCTCTGTGTCCACAGGCTGCTGAGCGTTTACCCTCAGACTAAGACTTACTTCGCCCACTGGCCTGACCTGAGCCCCGGTTCTGCCTCCGTGAAGAACCACGGGAAGAAGATCATGGGCGGCGTGGCTCTGGCCGTGGCCAAGATCGATAACCTGACCGGAGGCTTGCTGGAGCTCAGCGAGCTGCATGCCTTCAAGCTGAGGGTGGACCCGGCCAACTTCAAGGTAAACCCCATAACTACCTGTTTTTTGTTTTATTTTTTAAATTCAGTTCAGTGCTTTTGATGTGGTCTTTTGTGGGTAATGAACAATCAATAGCCTACCTGTTGTAGATAGCCTTTTGAGTGAGGTCAGTTAGTTTTCGTGGATTGTCAGAACAAAACACCACCTTTTTGTATTACATGGATATTTACATAAAAACATGGTTAACTGCAAACACAGAAGTATTAGCAGCTAGCTACAGTGTGCAACCTGAAATTTCCTAAAATATTCGCTAGAATAACTGTTTTACGGGAAACTGACAAAACTGTAAATGTTAATAAAATAGTGTTTGCATAACATTTTAAAGACTGTACTTGGTCTCGTTCAAACTATTAGCTTGTCACTCTGGTCAGAAATAAAGTCCTCTTTCAGAATAAAATGAACTTCATTAAGATCAATATTTTTTTTGTCTGCAGCTCCTGGCCCACTGCCTTCTGGTGGTCATCTCCACCATGTTCCCTAACGACTTCACCCCAGAGGCCCATGTCGCCTTGGATAAGTTCCTGTTCAACGTGGCCCTGGCTCTGTCAGAGAAATACCGCTAAGCTGTCCTCAGAGGGGCGCACAGGCTGATACACACATGTAACAACAACTCATGGTGAAATGTAACAGAATAACAATAAACTGCATGCCGTGAAAATGTCTTTTTTGTGTCCTCGTGTGCTGCACACTCAAACGTCTGCAGAAAAACATTTTATTGTCTTTATAAAACGACAACAGAGTAGGATTTTACAGCTTATTTTATACTTTTTGGGGGAAAGAAATCCAACAAATACCAAAACAAAACAAATAAAACACCAAAACGTACAAAGTGATAAATGTTTACAGCTTCATTGTCACCTCTCTGACCGTAAACCTGGTTGTCAGGATTTCATAATGACTCGTAACTTCTTATCTCCAAGGAAGAGCCTGAAACAAAAGAAAGTTGATTCAGGCAATGTTTTTTTTTCCCACTTGTTCCACTTCAACGTGGATTATTTTTACCTGACCAAAGCAGCAGCCACCAGTCCTCCTGCGATGGGTCCGACCCAGTACACCCAGTGGTAGGTCCAGTAGTTGGTGAGCACAGCTGGACCGAAAGCCCTCGCAGGATTGAGACACGTTCCTGATATGTCACCACTGCACAGAATGAAGATTCATAATAAAACATGACTTGCATTATTTGTATATTTCCTGTGCAACATATTATATATTTAGGCTGCCTCTTTTACAAACAACTAAAAAAACATGAGTCAACAATTTTTTTTTAAGTATTAAAGTAATTTATCAATTAGTCAGTTCTGTGGGAAAATACCATCTCTTGATTTTGCATTTCTAATAAAAAATTCAGATTATGTTTTGAAAATGAAATAAATGGGCTAATTTCAGATTTCATAAACTAAAAAAATGGAATTAACTTTATTTTTATATTAAAATAAGCACTATTAATAAAAAAATTATTTCTTTACTACAACCCTTTATCTTATCTCCAAACAAGCTCGTTTAGTTCTCTTTAGGAGCTGGTCTGAACTGATTAGTTAAAAAAAAATAGGCTGACATACATGCGGCAGGCGTCTCATTTTCCCACTTGCCCGCTCAATGTAAACGTTTGTAGCCTGAATATTTATTTATTTATTTGATTTTTTTTTTGCACAGAACACTTCTTGGTTAAAATCTAAGTAAGCTAACCAATRACACTTATTGTGAAATAAAATCACATCAGTTAGTAGCTAACTTTAGCATTTAACTTACTGGTTCTTTCATAACATACTTTCAAATCAAAGCAGAGGCTTTATACTTGCATTAATGTGATTTATAAGGGATACAGTGGGCATAGGAGCTGTTAAAGCGATCCTGCAAAGCGATCCTGCCTCTGTTACTCCTCTGAACCACAAAGGGAATAGTCACCGAGCCAACTCGGGTGATCTGATGTTCTGACATGAGGGTTCTTGTATGTAGTGATGACAGCCAGCCACAGGATTTAGAATGATGGATGTCTCATGTATTTCATGTGTAGTGCTCTGAGTTAATGCGTATTACTTATACTGCACGCCTGCTATTGTTCCACAGTTTTATATTTGTGTAAGCCCACAAGTTGCAAAAGGTGGCTGGCATGGTTGGTGCATTTAGAAACAGCAAGAAACAATTTAAAGCTTGCTTTCGCTTTGCAAATTATTTAACAGCTTTGTTTTTTTTCCCCCTGTGATTTTCATGCTTTGCGGGCCATTATCAGCTAAATGGCATTGCTAGGTGTAGAAACTTCACACTTGTCATTAACGTTTAGTTCACACAATAAACTGCTTAACACGTGAGTGCTTTTCATCTCACCCTGCCAAGATGTTAACCGTGACAGTACAGCCCACCAGAAACGGGGCGAGCGGCGTCTTCGTCTTGCCATTGACTGCCGCCAACAGCACCACCGTGGTTACCAGGCAGGTCATCACCACCTCTCCAAAAATAGCCCCGTACAGCTGGCTCTCTGACGTGACGATGTCAAACGCTGCTCCAGTTGCGTTGTTGTAGCGCTGTTCAGGGGTCATTATCTGTGAAACGTGTGAAGAAATTAATTTTTAACCGTTAAGATATCTATAAGGCACCTTGTTGTGCCAGAATCCCACGGGGCTGGGATTGTTTGGTCACATATTTGCGAAACTCATTTATCAGGGAGTCCACAAAATGCCTTGAAACATTCAGACGGGGAAAATATTTGAGCCCCAAATCTCTTGGTCTAAAAATCATGCCAACAATAAATAGAAATCTCTTTAATTTTCTTTTTAAAAATGRCCAGACGAAACACAACCACATGGTTTGCCTGTCACTTATTTTGAACAACCAACTAGTTTCCAAAAGCACAGCTCAGTAAGGTACAATTTTTTTTTACAAGAGATTAAACAAACTATAATTTTCAAATATTTTGTTTTTCTTTTTTTAGCTGACCTTAGCCATTCCAGCTCCAAGCACTCCTCCAATTAATTGGCTCACAAGGTAGGGCCCCACCATCATCAGCTCCATGCCTCCACACAGGTAGATAGCAATGGTGAAGGGAGGGTTGAAGTGRGAGCCACTGGAAGAAGGGAAAAGAAACAAGTTCAGAGCAAATTTAAAGTTGAAAAGGKGACACTGATCATTTCCACTGAACATATACAAAGCATACAAACACATGCAGCAAAAGCTAAAGGATAAATGCAATTGACCTGATTTTATCCATGACAGCCACCAGCACAGCCACAGCCAGGCCATGCACCAGAGCCGGCTGCAGGCGTCCAGCTGCAGGGACGTTCTCGATGACGGACACGCAGCCGATGAAAACAAAGAACATGGTCCCCACAATTTCAGCCAGGCAGGGCTGGAACAAACTCTCATACTTGTTCTGAGGCTTGGACCCCGATGGTTCCTTATTAGTCTTCTTCAGAAGAGTGGAATCTGCCAAGTCTTCCATTTCCATTTTCTCCACACCCATGGTTGCTACTCGCTTTGTCCAGAGCGTCCACCTCCAGCACCTGAACCCGTCTGTCGACTGAGTCAGAGGAGGTGCATCGTGCTGTTTATGTGCTGCTGTCGTTGAATTCACCCATCATAAAAACATCAAGAGTGATGGATAATGGACTATCTCCACCTGCACATATCTTAATCTTAAGGTGTTTGATACCTGTCCAACTCTGGCCTGTCAAACGAGACAGTTAGCTTAAGAGTTCAAAGACAAATAAACTGACCACATAAACATTTTAGAGGTTATTTATTTATTCAGAATAATCATCATCTCAGCTTTATGTGGTCACACAGGTGAACCTACCATAACTGACAGGAGCCCATATAGATAAGACAGACTTGGGCTGACTTTGCAACACATCAGGAGAGGTCAGGTGCACTCTGCACACACATTTACTCTGGTAAACATTAGATAATATCAGAGTACTTCAGTGTGCTTTACTAAACAAGTACATTTACTGGTTTTACGACTGAGTGTAGTTCAAAGACACCTGAACGCACACATTGCTTTTTGATTCCTTGAAGTTTAACCATTTTTATTTTATCATCACTCATCAAATCATCAGGTCTTCAAGGAAGTAAAGTACTAAAAACAACATATTTACTACCACTGAAAGGCTTATGTTTTGAAATGTAACTTTTTAAGTGTCTGGAGGTTTCCAAACAGAATTTCTATCATGATTTTTTTTAAATGAAACAGGAACAATTAATAAAAACAATTCTCTATATCTTTAATCTAACAAGGCTGGCTGAAGAATTAGAAAAATTATTGTTGAATATACCTGTTTTATTTTCCTCTAAAACCTCTCTCTTTAAGCCACACAAGTGTTTCCATTTGCTGCTTATAAACTAACAATTTCCTGAATACTCTCGTTATTAAAACAAAACATAACATACAACTAGCATTTTGTTCTAAAATGCACGTTAAAGGAACTCAATCAGTTTTGAGCATTATTTTTCTCTCTTTCAGATTAAACCCATTTGTGCCATTTAAAATATCTCTAATAAAATTATGTATTATTTCAATTAAACATCTTTTTAATCATTTGAAGAATGTAGCGTTCCTTACTGCTTAGCATGCCAACATTTTGAATAAAGTTTTCATTAGTACTCGGTATGTGTTGAGAGTGACTCTCGAGTACTACCACACCAGATCTGAGCTCATTATGTGTTTGATCTGATCAGTTAGTTCCCTTTCAGTCAATTCACTCGGTACAACACATCATGTATGGGAAACCACGCCTCTGCGTGTCCTGGCTGAAGCCACCTCTAATCACGCCTTTAGGCAGGTGATGTGATGACGACAGATGTCAGGCTCCGCCTGTACATATATATTTATTGTCGCCATCACAGTCACTCCTTAGTTCTTTTGCTCTTCACCTCGCAAGAACACCCACCTCTTCCAACCTAGCTWGTTAGCTGCTGCTAATWAGCTTTGTTTGTTCGAAGGTTCTCGGATTTAGTTTAACGGCTTTTGTTGGTGTCAGCTACAGCTGCCTACTGGTAACTGTGTCTGCCCGCGGAGCGCWAACTTTGAGAAACCTTTCTTACCTTGACGAAAGAGAGAATTTTGTGGTTCGGGATGAGCACAAAATTACTAAAGAAGAATCAGAAGTCTTCAGTTCGCCCCTGTCCCCAGGGGGTGCGGCTTCTCGCTTCACGAAAAGGACCAGCATGAGGCTTGCCCGGTCTATTTGGGGATCATCCACGCTCGTAGGGCGTTGGCTGAGCCCGAAGCGTGTGCGTTTTGCCGCCTGCTTCGACGCTCAACCCTGGAGAGATGGGTTAAGTTCTTGGAGAAAGTGCTGGGCGAGGCTGCAGTCATGCGGCAGGACCCTCTCCTCTCCGAGTCTAGTAACCCGGTTCCATCCGAGTCTGAYGAGGAGGAGCCCTCGGTTGAAGTCCCCGCTTCCAGCTGGGCAGTCCAAGTGGAATATATGGAGGGGTTAGCCGACACAGAGGAGGAGGCCTCYCAGTTTCATCTGGACCTCCACCACGGAGGGGAGGACRTGCTGGATATCGRCCTGGATGTGCATGGTCTGTTGGAAGACGACGATGAACCCGGTCCGAGTCCAGAAGCCCCCGCAGCTGTGGGGGCAAACCAGGAGGACACGTCTTTTCTCTCTTTGTGTCGTCGCGCGGCTCAGAAACTGGAGGTGGAATGGCCTGCTCCCCCTTCTACACAAAAACCGTTGCGRTTCGCTGGATTTTTTCTCCCCACTGAACYGACMGCGGTGAAAAACCGTCTTCCCATGTTCCCAGACTTCGTCTCGGAGCTGACATCCTGCTGGACCAAACCTCTGTCCACACGCGTCACAGTGCCCGGTTATGGACCGTATTTGGATTTGGAAGGAGCTGAAAAAGCTGGGCTGGTGAACATACCTCCCATGGARCYGTCCCTGGCAGCGTATTTGGCCCCGTCTCACAACCATGGTGTGAACGGACCCACCACGCTCCCTTCCAASCCCTGTAGATTTTCTGCTGCGCAGCTTGAAAAAATCTACAAGGCTCAGGCCACCGCCGCTCGCGGCCTGAGYTCCATCAGCATGCTCTAGACTTACCAGGCTATGGCTCTGGCGGAGCTCGGAGCCCAGGTACTGGCCGAGAGTCCTCTGCTGCCTCTCTTAAATGAGATCAGACTCACCGCGGACTACATCCTCCGTGCGTCCCACAGCGTAGCGCTCTCCCTGGGCAGAGGGATGGCTTCAACCATGGTGGCGCAGAGACATTTGTGGTTGACACTCTCTGATATCCCCGACAGAGACCGGGCCACATACCTGGATGAACCAGTTATGGCGGCTGGGTTATTCGGTCAGTCTCTCGAAGTTATTCAGGCGAAATTCGAGCTGAGGAAGAAGCAGGCAGAAGCTCTGCGCTGCATTATCCCCAGACGGGACTCGAGACCCAAGACCAGCACACAGAAGCCGGCCACACAGCCGCCTCCGGTGAAGAGAACGGTGCTGCCCGGGAGCCTAGGCACCCAGCCACCGCAGCCTCATAACCACGGCCAACCCCCCCCCACCAGTCGGCTTGGAGCAAGGGCCCCCCTCCGGGTGTTCAGAAAGGCGCGATGCCTCGGAGGAAGAAGACGCAGTCCTCCTAACTGTGGGACCGTCACTGCAGGGACTTCGGGACCAGGGAGACATGTTCGCCAGTTTTCGGCTGCCGCCCAAGAGACATTTTGTTTGTACTGTTCAAAATGTTAACAGGCAGCTTCTGCATTCGGTCAGCCCGGGCGACTGGTTTGCGAACGTCAATTTAACAGATGCTTACTTCCATGTAGCGATTCACCCGGACCACAGGAAATTTCTGAGGTTTGCGTTCGAAGGCGTAGCCTACGAATTCCTGATGCTGCCATTCGGTCTGTCGTGGCACCCCGCACCTTTTCAAAATGTGTCGAAGCGGCACTATCTCCTCTCAGGGAGAAAGGAGTTCGCCTGTTAGCGTACCTAGACGTCTGGGCTCTGATAGCCAGCTCCAAGGAGCAGGCTACAGAGCATCTGTCTCAGGTTCTGTCGCACATTCAGGCTCTGGGTTTTTCTGTGTGCATTACGTCACCGCCACAGAAAGCTAACGATAACTGCCTCATGCATGAAGGCTCTCAGTTCTTGGAGGGAACCCGGCCTGCTRTGCCGAGGCTCACCGATAGGGAGAGTGTCCTTTCGCAAAGTGGTATCCACAGAYGCCTCCCTGGTGGGGTGGGGGGCTCTGTGCGATGGTGCGGCAGTGAGTGGGGTTTGGACTCTGAAGCAGTCCAGACTCCACATAAACTGCCTGGAATTGTTAGCGGTTCTGTTAGCACTGAAACAATTTTGTCCAGTTCTGCAGAACCAACATGTTCTGATCAGAACAGACAACACGACTGTAGTGTCATATATAAACAGACAGGGGGGAACACGGTCTCTTCCCCTGTTGGAACTGTCTCACACTCTCTTGCAGTGGTGCAACGTGCATTTCCTGTCTATCAGGGCCACTCACGTTCCTGGGAGACTGAATCTGGGCCCAGATCTACTCTCCAGGGGCAGACCTATGGTGAGGGAGTGGAGGCTGCATCCCTCAGTGGTGGACCAGATTTGGACCATGTTTGGCAGAGCAGCAGTGGATCTCTTTGCCACAGGGGCCAACACCCACTGCCCTCTGTTCTTTTCCATAACGGATCAGAACGCCCCACTAGGGGTGGATGCTCTAGCCCACCCATGGCCCAATGTACTGCTGTATGCATTTCCCCCAGTGGAGATGATACTGCCTGTACTAGAGAGGGTGCGCAGACAGCGTCTGTCTCTGATTCTGATGGCGCCCCACTGGCCAGCGAAGTGTTGGTACGCCGAGATAATCAGCCTGCTGGCTGCTCAGCCCTGGCAACTTCCTCTTCACCAAGATCTCCTCTCTCAGGCAGGGGGGGGTGGGATATTTCACCCACACCCAGAGTTGTGGAGGCTGCACGCCTACCTGCTGAAAGGTCCTGCTTGCTAGCCAGGGGCCTTCCCCCGGCAGTGGTGGCAACTATCCAGAACGCGAGAGCGCCCTCCACTAGAGGTTTATATACTTACAATTGGCACGCTTTCGAGCAGTGGTGTGAGGTCACGCACATTGTTCCGTTCCAGTGCTCTATGGTGGACGTTTTAACATTCCTTCAGGAGCTGCTGGATAAAGGTCTGGCTTTTTCTACAATTAAAGTCTACTTAGCAGCTACTGTATCTCTGCTTGCCATGTGGGTTTTGATGGAGTTACGCCAGGTGCTCATCCTCTAGCAGTGCATTTTCTGAAGKGGGTCCGTAGGCTACGGCCTGTTATTAAACCCAGTATCCCTACCTGGGATCTTACTGTGGTGCTTGAGTCTCTCTTTGACCCCCCTTTTGAGCCCCTGGAGTCTGTGGATTTGAAGTTCCTTTCATATAAAGTTGTGTTGCTTYTRGCACTAACAACTGTTAAACAGGTCGGGGATCTCCATGCTCTATCTGTGAATCCCTCCTGTATTCAGTTTTCACCTGATGGCTCCAAGGTGGTTCTGCATCCAAACTCGATCTCCCTAAGGTGATACCTTCTAACTACAGCTCCATGTCTATTGAGCTTTGTAGTTTTTATCCTCCCCATTTTGCATCTGAGGAGCTGAGGATGTTACATTCTTTGTGTCCTCTACGTGCACTGCGTGTTTACATTGATCGCACACAGG